TGTGGTCGGAGTGTGGGTCCCGTGTCCCGGTGAGGGGGCGGCGCGGCAGGGTCCCGTGTCCCGGTGAGGGGCGTGCGGCAGGGTCCTGTGTCCCGGTGGGGGGGCGGCGCGGCAGGGTCCCGTGTCCCGGTGAGGGGGCGGTGGGGCAGGGTCCTGTGTCCCGGTGAGGGGGCGCGGCAGGGTCCCGTGTCCCGGTGAGGGGGGCGCGGCAGGGTCCTGTGTCCCCGTGAGGGGGGAGGCGCGGCGGGGTCCCGTGTCCCGGTGAGGGCGGCGCGGCAGGGTCCTGTGTCCCCGTGAGGGGGGAGGCGCGGCGGGGTCCCGTGTCCCGGTGAGGGCGGCGCGGCAGGGTCCTATGTCCCGGTGACCGGGAGGCGCGGCAGGGTCCCCTCAGAGGGTTCTGATGTGCTAGGACAGGCCCAGATGGGGACCAGGAACCTTAACTGGGAAGGTCTCTGGGGGCAGGGACCACCCTATTTGTCCTTCAACACCTAGGCAGGAATCTGTCTGTCGGCAGGTGAATGTGGCAGCTGGGTAGTGGTTGGACGCTCACTGTGCACCAGGTGTTATGTAAAGACCTTTACAGACATTTTTGTTCAGCTGTTACAAGACCATCCGGAGGGCTGTAAACTTCCCATTTTACAGATAAGAAATTGAGGTTCAGAGAAGTAAGGTGACTTTCCCGAGGTCGTCTGGCTGGGACGTGGGGGTGGCGGAAGGCTGGCTGGACAGACGGGCCTCCACCGGGGAGGCAGCCCTGGGCTGTCCTGGGCTGTCCTTGCTCCTTAGCCCCACGGGCCGTGATCAGGGGACACCAGAGCGGTCGGTACATTCACAGGGAAGATCTCTGTGCTGGAGTGAAATGATCCTTTAAGAAATGATCACCAGCTCCCTTCACTGCCTCCGGAGACCAAGTCCTTGCTGATTTCCCCCTTCTTTATCTCAAGTACATTTAAATGTCAATTAAATTTGAAATATCTACATTTGTCAGCATTTCATTTTGGGCCAGCGTGACGTGCCGCTGATTTGTCCACGCGATGTGACACATGAAAAAAACTCTCAAGATGCAGATCTTCCTCATTAAAAAATAAGCCCGTGCGATCCCAGCGCGGCGAGAGCCACGGCGCACGTCCGCTCCCGACGCCGCGCTCTGACATGGTATTTAAAAAGGAACAGCCGCGCCTGTCACCACTGTCACACGCGCGTGCTAACCGGCGACACGTTAAACCAAACATTAGAAAGGGTTCAGGAAGTCACCGGCATGGGAGTGTGTGCCGAGGAGGTGGGCGAGCGGCAGCGGCGTGGGAGATGACGCGCCCGGACAGTGATGGACGGCGGGCCTTTCTTTCCCGCCCGGACTCGGCAGCCCTCGCTGGGCAGCTGGTTCGCAGACAGCAATTTGTGTATAATAAAATCCAGGCAAGTGGTGGGTGGCAGGCTGCAGGGTAGTCGCTGAATTGGGTTAATGAGGGAAGAGGTACACTTTTTTTTTTCTTTTTTTCATATTCTGCCTTAAGCTAATAAAAAATTTAAACCTGGACGTTTTCGACGGTTCATCCTTTATCTCTGACAAATATCTGACTGTATGTTCCATGGAAGAACATGAGCAGCTGAATTTAAATAAGTTTATTTTGAAATCTCACCTTTTCTTGAAAGGGGAAGGGGAAACACCCTACACCTTATTTCATTGTTCCAGACCCACAAACCGAAGAGGCAGGATCGCAGAGTGGTGTGGAGTCAGGGAAATGCCGATTCCCCGGTCGGCCTTGAACTGCTGTGTGACACGGGACAGGCGACTCCCTCTCTGAGCACTGGCTTCTGTATCTGCGAAGTGAGGATGCGATAGGACGTGATGAGGAACTGTCCGCACAGCGCTGAGCTCAACGCTCGTGAGTCCTGCTGGCGTCCTCAAGGTCACCGGTGTGGCCGCAGCTGGACTGAAAACGCTCTGATCTGACCAAACCACACGGCCCAGTTCCCACCTGGGCGCTCTGTCTTTCGAGAGCCAGACAGAGTGTCCGCGATGCCAGAGCCTCTGGAACCACTGCCCAGCCAGCCTGGCGTGGCCAGCAGAGCCGGCCAGAGAGTGAGCTGGCATCGGGCTCCCTCTCCCAGCCTCCCTCCAGGACACGCCAGCGGAGGTCGCCGTGAACTGAACTGATGGCACCGAGGTCCAGGGCAGCACACAGGCCCTGTGCTCTTCCACGAATCCAGACATTCCTGCAGCTGCAGCGGCATCCGGTGCACACGCCAGGCTGTGGCCTCTGCTTCCTTGTCGAACCCGGCGGGGGGGCCATGCTCGGATGGCTGTTGGGAGGCATTCAAGGTGGGCTGGAGGGCTTCCCAAGCCCTTCATAGACCTGCACCACCCCCTGCTGGCAGTCCCTGCTCCTCACTTCCTGGCGGGGTCACTTGGTCACAGCTCTCCTTTGCCAGCGACTCCCAGGGCTCAGCTAGCACTGCGTCCGCTCACAGCAGGCCCCCAGGAAGTGCCTCTTGGTTGGATTTGTGGATGGACAGATGGACTAGTGACAGGCTCGTCCTCTATAAAGGCAGTATATTGAGACCTTCCTGCTAGGCTGTTGGGAGGTAGAAGTAACCTGTGCAAAGTCCTTGGCACAGTGCGTACATGTGGATGTTATTTAAGACGTTTTCCTGAGACTCCCAGCTACTCCCTGCCCCCAAACATGGTCCCTTCTACAGGTCTCAGCATCCCAGAGGACGACGGGGACTCGGAGAGGAACACTGCTATACTGCAGACACAGGCTGGTGAAAGGGACGCCAGGACTCTGGTGGCTGTGAAGATGGGTGAAATGGGTGCCTTGTCCCCCCAGCACGCTGGCTGCCACTCATTCGGTCAGCAAACTTGGACTGTGCTGATGCTGTGCTCCAGGTGGGGGTAAGGAGCCCGGCCCTGCCCTTGAGCTCAGCTCAGGAATACAGTGGCGAGAGATTCACGTGTCCCAAGGAGGAGCTCTGCAGCTGGGCCTCCAGGAAGGCTTGCGGAGAGGGCCATCGGGCTGCCCTCCGGAGCAGGACAGCGGTCAGCGCACCAGGCAGGGCCGGCGCCAGGTGCATGGGGGAGGCAGGGGGCGGCCGCACCAATGGGCAGAGGCAGATCCATGGTGTCTGCCCTGCTTGGGGCTCGGACTGGGCACTGCCATTCCGCAGCCCTCCCCCTGCCCACCCAGAGCGTCATCCCCAAACGTCTGCACACTGCTGTTCCTGATGCTTTACCGAGTGGGACCACTCACCACACAGCCGATCGCCAAGAAACTGCGATTCAGAGAGCAGATTCACAGGCGTTAAGCAGGAGAGTGACAAGGCCGGGTCTGTGACTCAGAACAGGATTCGGTGGCTGTGTGCAGAGTGGCCCTTGTGCTGCACCTTGTCTCCTGTCCCGGTGGCAGTGGGAGAGCCGAGCAGCCTTGTCCTGAGGGTGGCCAGTGCGCATCTCTGCAAATGAAACCTTCCCGCTCTGCTCTCCGGAGCCCAGAGGGAAGTCCCCGCCCGAGCCATGCTCTGCCTGCTCCAGGAAGGGCCACGGTGTCACCCTCACGCCCTGCATGGCGACCTGGGGGAGGACAGGAATGCTGTGCTGGCCACCTCCCTGTGCACGGCCCGAGCAGGTGGCCTCCCCTCTCGCGTCTCGGCCCCCACTTCGGTAGGAGGAAGGACCGCCTGGCCACCTCCAAGGGGACAAGAGGAAGCGCAGGGGTTGGGTGTGAATGTGCTGGGGTGCGTGGGGCCCTGGGAGCCAGCCCCCGAGTTCCTGGGCGACAGCCAGCTTAGCACCCAGGATGGCAGGTCGTGGCCAAGACAGGTCAGAATCCACTCCAGTCCCCGGGCAGCTGCTGCCCCTCACTTGCCCTCCAGCCGTGGTTCCTGCGCACTTTTCTTAGACATGTTGCTTTTTCCTGAGATAAAACTGAGTGGAATTGCATCGTATAAAGCAAAGAAAGGAGACTGCTGGGGTGAGGGGCAGGGGGTGGCCCCCCTCAGGCACCTAGTGTCTCCTACCCACTGTCTCCTTAAACTTTACTGTTGCCCTTGGCCATCCTCGGCACGTGCCCCGCCTGCTGTCCAGGGCAGGGCTGTGGACTGCCCGCTCCCAGCTGGGGGCCGGGCATTGGCCGCAGGGCGGGCGTTCGAACCCAGGTCTGACCGCTCGGGGGCCTGTCCGTGTGTAATTCAGGAGCCGCGTGGAGCGTCTCTGGGCTGTGTGTTCGTGTCGGTAGAGGTAGAGCTCACAGGTGGCTGACAAGCGAGATGTATTTTTTATAACAATGAATATTTAATTTCCACATCACAGATGAAAGACTCTCTGAAGAGGCATCTGAGAGATGCCAGAGAGCGGCCGCTCATCAGAAAGGGTCTCTCCCGAGCGCCCCCCCACGCGGCTCCCTGCCCTCCCCAACCAGCTTGTTTTTTAGTTTTCCCTAATTATTGAAATAGATATGCACATTGTAGAAAATGTAGACGACACAGAAAAACAAAGGGGCAGGGGGCCCTGCTCCACTAGCTGTCGTAGACACTGAGACATATACTTTCCGGCCTGCGTTTTCCATTGCAGATGGAGAAGGTGGTCTCTGCCCGTCTGCGTCTGGTGTTTAGGTCCCTTTGTCAACATGCAGTCACGGGGAGCATAACGTTAGCCAGCAGCACCGGAATTCACTTCTCCAGCTTCCTGTCGCTGGAAATTTAGGCTGTTTCATGTTTTAATGTTATAAACGTGCCAGTGGTGGACACTTTGTGCGTAATTCTTGGCCATGTTTCGGGTTATCTAAGTGGAAGTGGAATTAGCAGGTCATGGATGTCTGGATCCTGGTTTAAAGCCCTTAACACGTGGCAAGCCCACCGTTTCTTTTCTGTTTGGGACCAGCCTCCTTACCTGGGGGCCGGTCAGGCCTCCCCCAAGGCTGGCAGCTGGGCCCCCCGCCCCACGTGGAGTCCTGAGGGCGCCTCCTAACTGTTCTCTTCTCTCTTGTCTCCCTCTGCCCCAGCCTGGTAAAGCCCTCGCGACACTATGCGGTCTTCCTGTCCGAGGACTCCTCTGACGATGAGAGCCAGCGGGAAGAGGGCCCGAGCTCTGGCTTCACCGAGAGCTTTTTCTTCTCCGCTCCCTTTGAATGGTCTCTCCTTCCTTCCTCCGTTTTCCTGGGCTGGGCGTGGTGACTCCCCGGAGCCTGGGGGCAGGTGGCCAGTGCTGCTGGCCCTTGTGCTGGGGGGACGTCCGGTGCCCCAGTGCTGACTCGCAGGGCGGATGCCACCTCGTGTGCCTCTGGTCAGGGCGTTCGACCTGCCAGCCCACAGGGGCTGTGGCCGTGGAGCTCGGTGACGAGGGGCCGGACTGTCCAGGTGTGACAGGCCCAAGGGTCCCTGCTCCTCGCACGGGGAAGTGCGCTTACCGTCACTGGGGTTGGTGGCTGCGACCTGCCTGCTGGTGATGCCCAGGTCCTTGGTCTCAGCACGTCTTGGAAAGCCATGGAGATGGAGGGTCCGATTTTAAGTTTAAAACAAGAAAAACGTATCGCTCTGGAATGTGTGTATAATTCTGGCATATCCAAACATTTTACTGCTCTGACTTTAAAATAACTTTTATCACTATCATTCATAGGCCAAGCCTCATACGAATTATGAATTGGAATTAAAAAAAGAACATTTACCACAATCCAGCCACCCCTCAAAATTAAGCTTTTCTATTCCCCTTTTGTGCCCCTCTACCCACAAGTGTCCCCGAGCTGGCACTGAGCGAAGGGGTCGGGTCTGTGTGTGCTGACAGGCTGTAACGTTTTTAATGGGAGCCTGTCAGGGAGGGACCTTCCCGTTGCTGGGCACCAAGGGGCCCACATAACCCCAGAGTGAACAGTTAGGTTTATGGAACAGGGGATTCTTCCCCTCCCTCTCCCTGCTCTGCCCCCTCCTGGGCTGGGCCCCTGAGAACCCCACAGCTCTGCTCCTGCCACTGTGACAGGTGGGGGGGGGGGCTGGCCCTTTCTGACACCAGCTCACCTGTGACCACCGGCAAGTCGATCCCTTCCCGGTGTCCTCACTTAGCAAGTGGTGGCCTGAGTCAGCGTTGCCTGAGCTTCATTTCACATGCCACCTTCTCCATAGCGTGAGCCTTTTAAGATGTTTCTTTTAAAACTTTAAAAAATTAGCCTTGTCCTAAGCAATAACATCTACCATACCATAAGCTTAACGTATCAGTTATTATTTCTACTATTAACTAAAGATAGAAACATTGGAATAAGAAATGTTTATGCAGGTATCCACATCACCTTGCAGGTAAAGGCACTCCGGGTGACGTCCAAGGACTCCCCCACCACAGAGTCCAGCAGGTCATGCATTCTTTTTAAATTAATTGGTGCCTGAAGTATTCAAATAATGGATAGTGCTCACTCCTTTAGCCAAGACCTGTGAAAAGTGGAGGCTTTTGTGCATGTCTGCACAGGACCTGGCCCACCTTAACTCCAAACAAAATGGTTCTTTTTTTTTTTTTCTTTTTAAAAATGTTTTATTGATTTTTTTTAGAGAGAGGAAGGGAGAGGGAAAGAAAGAAACATTGACTGGCCACCTCCTGCACGCCCCCTAGTGGGGATGGAGCCTGCAACCGGGGCATGTACCCTGATTGGGAATCGAACCGGAACCTCAGTCCATGGGATGCGCTCAATCACTGAGCCACACTGGCTGGGCTAAAATGGGTTATTTTTAATGAACACTACTTCCTTACGTATATGAAGCACACTGACTTTATCTACTTCTTTGTGTTCAAATTTTGTTAAAGGGGCTCTAATTCCTTGTACAGATGGCTTAGTCATTCAGTGAGGACTTTTAAAGTCTCTCCTACTTGGCTCGCATTTCCACCTCTTGCCAAGTGCTGTGTGGCATAGGGTAAGTTACTTAGCTTCTCTGAGCTTCCGTTTCCTCATGTGAGGTAGAGATGTGAATCTCCTTCACGGGCTACTTTGGTTGCTTCAGCAAGATGTTACAGGTGAACGGAGTCCCTGCCCAGAGACCAGACTGAGCCCTCTCCTCCCCGTCTCCCGCCTGCTTCCTGCAAGTGAGCCTTTGCACCACCAGGTGGCGGCCTTCCCCCGCTTCACCAGAGTCTTGGGCAGTTTCTGCCAGACACCGCCCCCTCGGGGTCCCAGCCTCCCCGGCCTTGTGGTCAGAGGAGGTGGGGCGCTGCTCTGGCCTGGGCGCCACTAGAGGTCAGGGTTTGTCCAGCACCATTCTCCACGTGCGCAGTGGTGCCCCGGGGCTCAGGCTTGTGAGAAAGAAACCCCTTGTCACTGAGGTTTGGGTGCATGAATGTACGTCATGCTGTTAGCCTCCGCGCGCTCTGTGCACAGGCACCGCTCACCTAATGCCCACCACTCCTGCGAGGGAGGTGCACTCTGCAGCACGGAGCCACTGAGGCTCAGAGAGGTTAAGTGACTTGCCCAAGCCCCCAAGCGGGAGATGGCACCACCAGAGCTGGAACCAAGGTCAGCACAGGTTCTCCTTGAGGATCGCGGGGTGTGCTGGGCCGCTGAGGGGAGTTTCCCCAACTCCTTTCCCAAAAACTGTTCCCCAGACCTGACTGCCACAGCCTAGGGATGAGGCTGGCTGCCTGTCCCTTTCTATCCGTGTCCCGCTCCCCACCAGCCATTGATCCGACGGGCCCCGTGACTGGGTGGGAACCAGACGGGTTCCTCTAGCGTAAGTTAGAGCCACAGTGACTTGCCCAAGGTCGCACAGTGACCAGCAGAACCCAGATTTAGTCCAGGTCTATCCGAGTGCCACTGCCCTCGGGGACCCAGGACACTCTCCTGTCCCCAGGGCTCCTGGGTATGATCTTCAAGACCTGGAAGTTCTTGGGAGTGGGGATTGCTTGCTTCTGCCACAGAGGCTCCGGGCGGGAGGGTCCAGCCTGCTCTGCCTCCTCGCAGGCCGCAGCCCTACCGGACACTCAAGGAGTCGGACAGTGCGGAAGGCGAAGCGGAGAGCCCTGAGCCGCGAGCCAGGGCGCCCGGGACCCCTGTGCCAGCCCCACCCGACCGGGCTGCCAGCACTGACCTCCTGGGAGACATCTTCAGCAGCCTGGACATGGAGGTGCCACTGCAGCCACTGGGCCAGGCCAAGAGCTTGGAGGATCTTCGGACCCCCAAAGACCTGAGGGAACAGCCGGGGACCTTTGACTATCAGGTAAGGTGGGGGCGGGGGCGGGCACTGCTGGGGCTGGAGCGTGCACACTGGCTGCGGGTCCCCACGTGGCAGGGAGACAGCCACCTTTCCCAGGTCCTCAGCCGGTGCTCAGGGTCAGTGCCAGGAGGGCCAGCCGGCCGACCTCCTCTCGGGGATCCCTGGAGAGCGTGTCGGACCTGACGGGAGCCTGCCCCACTTCCATCTGCATGTCAGAGGGGCTGGTGCCCAGCCTCTCTCGCCAGGACTGCCGGGGGCCTGGGGTTGCTCCCACCCCCACCAGGGAGACTCCTTGGAGAGACTGGATTGCTCACAAGTCACCTGGGGTGTCCCACTGTGGCTTGCAATCTGTCACACCCCCTCTGTCCGCTCCGTGCTGCTCCTTCAGCTGCAGGCCGTCTGCTGTCTGGGTCCCGCAGCGGGATCCCAGGGCTCCCACCTAGCCCGGGACTCCTGTGCACCCCTCGGCCAAGAGCAGGGAGGGGAGCCCAGGCCGCGGAGCGGGGGAGTGGCTGAGCTGGGACTTGCGCCCAGTCCTGTTTCCCCGTCCAAGCCTGAGCCGCACTTGCCCGCCTGGACTCACAGGTGACAGGAAGTGCCCACATGCTTGGAAAAGTACAAAGGACCCGGCCAGTAGATGGTCAGCGAATGTCCTGAAGCCACCTGGCAGCCCTGGCATAAAAGGACAAGGGCTTCCTCTGGAACCCTTGGTGCCAACAGAACAGCCTGGGCATGGAGTCGAGACAGACCCAGGCTCTGCTGGTCACCCGGGGCTGAGCCCTCAACTGCCCTGAGTCCAGGGGCTGATCCTGGAACCTGCCGGCACACAGGAGGGGTGTGGGTGGGGATGTGCTGCCCTCCCGTCGGTCCCGGTCGGCCCGTGTCACTGCCTCCCTCTCCTTCCCACAGCGGCTGGACCTGGGCAGGAGTGAAAGGAGCCGCGGGCTGCCGGGGGCCCTGAGGCTCGCTCACCCCTACAACAAGCTCTGGAGCCTGGGCCAGGACGACATGGCCATCTGCAGCAAGCCCCTGGCCACCTCCCCCGAGAAGCCCTCAGCCTTGCTTGGGAACGCCCCAGCCCTGCCCCGCAGGCCCCAGAACCAGGACAGCGTCCTGAACCTCGGTGACAAGGAGGCGGCACCCGCCCCCACTCCGGGCAGCATCACCATCCCCCGGCCCCAGGGCAGGAAGACCCCGGAGCTGGGCATCGTGCCCCCGCCTCCCACCGCCCGCCCAGCCAAGTTGCAAGCTGCTGGCGCCGCCCTCGGTGCCTTCTCCTCGGAGTGGCTGCAGGCTGAGCGGGAAAGGCGCGCTGCCCCCCTCCCCAGCGCTGCCCCCCAGGGCCCCCCCACCCTGCTCCAGCCGCTCAGCCTGGCCCCAGGGGCTGCGGCCACTGGCAGTGATGCCCTGCTGGCCCTCCTGGACCCACTTAACACAGCCCGGCCGGACAGTGCCCTTCCGCCAGGCCCCACAGCCCCAAATATAGCCACCCCATTCACCCCCCAGTTCAGTCTGCCCCCCGCAGGGACCCCCGCCCCATTTCCACAGCAGTCACTCAACCCCTTTGTCCCACCTGTGCCAGCCGCGCTGCCTGCCATGTCCCTGGTCTCCACACCAGCCGGGCCCTTCGGGGCCCCTCCTGCCTCCCTGGGCCCAGCTTTTGCCCCCAGCTTCCTGCTGTCCAGCTCTGGCTTCTGCCCCCCATATAGATCTCAGCCCAACCTGTCTGCGCTCTCCATGCCCAATCTCTTTGGTCAGATGCCCATGGGTGCCCACACCAGCCCCCTGCAGCCACTGGGCCCCCCAACAGTCGCCCCTTCGAGGATCCGAACATTGCCCTTGGTCCGTTCCAGTGCCAGGGCTGCTGAGGCCAAGCAGGGGCTGGCCCTTAGGCCTGGAGACCCCCCACTCCTTCCTCCCAGACCCTCCCAGGGCCTGGAGCCGGCACCGCAGCCCTCTGCTGCTCGAGAGGCCAGAGACCCCTTTGAGGATTTGCTCCAGAAAACCAAGCAAGCCGTGAGCCCGGCGCCGGCCCCGGCCCCGGCCCGGGGCTCGGTGGAGCAGCTCAGGAAGCAGTGGGAGACCTTCGAGTGACGGCACCCAGGCCAGCGCCTGCGGTTCCTGTCTGTCAGCCCAGGCTCTCCTGGCGGGCAGGAAGGCGTGGGACCCTCTCTGCCGCCGCCTCCCCTCCACACTGCCCATCTCGGAGGTCTGCTCTGGAGAAAGGCGCCCGTCTGGTCTGGGAATCAACCCAGCTCCTGGGCGCCATCCCACCTGCCACCAGCCCTCCCCAGCACCCTGCTGGGTTTTGCACTAAAGAGGTCAGCTGGGCCAGTGATCGCCCCAGACCAGTCCTCCCCTCCTTCCCTGGAAACCTCAAGGCCTCTCCTCCCGAGCCCTGTCCCGTCCTACCTGGCCCAGGACACCCCGACAGGCACAGGTGTCAGTGGTACCCGCGGCGTGAGCTTATCTGCACAAGAAACGCGGTTTGGAGTTTGAAACAGGATCTACCTGGCGGGGCATTTCCAACCTTCTAGCAATATGCACACTGGTTCTTGTAAGTCTTCACCCCCACCCCAAACTTCAGCTGTTTCTGGCTTGGTAGGGATTTGGGGGCTGAGGGATCTTTGAGGTCCCTCGTGATAGCCAGCGCCAGCCCCCGCCAGCCCTGCGGGGGGCTGGGAGCACCAGCAACTGGGATTTTAGATGAGAACCAGCTACAGGTCAACCTGAGTGCATCGGAAGCTGGAGTTCGGGCTCTCCTGGCCTGTTTCTATCCTATGGGCTCAGCGGATCCTACGGGCTCTCCTGGCCTGTTTCTATCCTATGGGCTCAGCGGATCCTACGGGCTCTCCTGGCCTGTTTCTATCCTATGGGCTCAGACTCCGGTCTTGTGGGGCGGCTGGGGCGCAGCTCAGCTGCAGGCACCCAGGTTCCAACTGCAAGGCCAAGCTCAACCCCAAGGACTGAAGCAGGAGTCCTGGGTGAGGGGGAGCAGGGCACTGAGCAGAGCTGAGGGCGCTTCCGCAGCCTGGAGGCTGGAGGGCTAGGAGCACCCCCGCCCCCCACGATTCTCGCCAGCAGAGAAAGTCCTGAGGCCAATGTCACCAAAGCTAAATCGAAATGTTTTGTTGTTGTTCCTTTTATCTTTCTTTTCCTTTTTACTTTATTGATTTGATGAATCTTGAAATTGAATAGTTTCAATAAACCAAGTTGAAATGTGACCCAACCATTTAAGAAAACAACCATCTGAGACATGCAGGAAATTGTGAGCATTTTGACCTGATTTCTCATTTCCTATTTGTGAATGGTCAGACAGTCTCAGAGGTATCTGCAGGGCACGGGGGTCTCTGGCGGTCCCAGAACCCCAGGAGCCTTGTTGGTGCCTGGGGGGCCACCCCTGGGGGGGTCAGCGAGGCCTGGAGGCCTGGCGCTGAGGTTCGCTCTGGCCAGCACACGGCCCCTTCCTGAGTCCGCCACGGCCCCTCAGGCGCGTCTTCTCTCTGAGTCTCCCGAGGATTCTCCGCTGCTTAGGACGGGGTGAGGCATCGTGTCTGAGCCATGTGGGCACCTCCAGGACACAGGTGTTTCTGTCCGGGTCCAGTTGTACCCATCCTGGGCAGACCCCTGAACCCTGTGGGGATGGGGCAGCCCATCGGGTGGCAAGGGGAGTCGAGAGGTACCAGCGGCCCGGGAAGCAGAGCCAGCCTGTGAGCCCCCTGGCCGGGCTGGGGCTGGTGCTCCTTGTTCAGGGACGCTGCTGTCTCTCCACCTGCCATGTCGAGTTTGCAAACCCAAGGAAGAATTTTGTGTGTGCATTCAATAAAATCTTCTTGGGGAGAAGGCTGGTATCCCTGTGTCCTTGAGGAAGCTGGCGGGAGGGAGGCCTCAGCCATCTTCAGAACCCCGTCCCGTAGAGGCGGTGGCCATAGCTCAGGGCCGCCGGAGGGATCTGACCCCGGCCAGTTCTCCTTCGGGCCTGAGACCAGCTCAGCCCCCTCCCCTCCCAAGCAGAGCATGGGGGTGGGCAGGTCACCGATGGAACTGAGGGCGCCCAGGCTCCAGGGAGGAACAGGTGCGAGGATGCTGGGAGTTCACCCCACGGACCTCTCGCTAGAGGGGCGGGAGCCTGGCACCTGCAGACCTGCCGCCGGCCCTGGGGAGATCTGGGCCACGCGCCAAGTGGGTGTTAAGCACACCCATCAACTGTCCCTGCTCCTCCTCCCCACACTGACCTTGACAATGACATCTCAGCAAAAGAGGAGACCATGGGGCTCCTCTAAAAAAGAGTGGCCCAGATTTTATATGTTGTGGTTCCACATAAAATATCTTTAAGAGTCTGTAAGAGCACAGCTTGGCCAAATCCACGACAAACTAACCACGGCACCAACTGTTGTTAAGTGGTCGGCACCAGGCTTCCTCCACACTTGCCAGGAGTCGGGGAAAGTTGGGGAAAGGTGACCCCACCCATTACAGGGCAAGACCCTCAACCTAGTGTTCAGGCCCTTCCTAGCCCAGCCGCTGCTCACCCCGTCCCCCAGTCTCAGCCCCGACCTCCCCACCACCCCATCAACACATGGCTCCACCTGGGCTGGACTTCTGTGCCTCCCTGGAGCCGGGCAAGGCCGACGCCCAATCGCAGTGTCAAGGGGGCCCAGCCGGTTTGGCTCCGCGGTTAGAGCGTCAGCCCACAGACCAATGAGTCACGGGTTCGATTCTGGTCAAGGGTATGTACCTCAGTTTCGGTTCGTCCCCAGCCCTGGTCAGGAGGCAACCAGTCGATGTGTCTCTATCACACTGAGGTTTCTCTCTGTCTCTCCTTCCCTCACTCCCACTCTATCTAATGATAAATAGAAAAATATACTCAGGTGAGGAATAAAAATAAAAATAAATAAAATAAATAAAAGTGTCAAGGGGAGCCAGCTGGTGTGGCTCAGTGGTTGAGCGTTGACCCAGCCACCAAGAGGTCGCCAGTTCAATTCCCAGTCAGGGCACATGCCCAGGTTGTGGGCCCGATCCCCAGTGGGGGGCGTGCAGGAGGCGGCCAACTGATGTTCTCGCTCATCGATGTCATCTTCCTTCCTCTCTCTATAAAAATAAATTAAAAATTTTTTTAATTAAAAAATAAAATAAAAATGTCAAGGGCCTCCTGGCCTTGACATGTTGGCACAGGAGGCACTGGCCTGGGAAACAGGAAGGACAAGGGGCACATCTCCAGGGCAGGGATGAAAGGACCCTGAGGAGGCCAGGCCCTCAGGCAGGTGCCCCTTGGGGCCCAGAGCTCCCAGTGTGGCGGCAGCACTGCAGGGCAGACGGGAAGCCAGGTGGCAAGTTCCTGTGCATGTGTGTCCGCAGGACCAGCCCAGCCCAGGTGCCAGCTTCTCGGGGCTTCGAGTCCTTCCCTGGACCCTCCCAAGGTGAGGAGTGGTCTCTGCAGGGGGCTTCAGAGGACAGCTCTGCTCGGGAAGAGAGGGGAGGGGGAGGGGGAGGTGCCCCTCCCCCCACTGTTTCCCTCCACTCCTGACACCGGAAAGGACGACCCACAGCCCTTCCCAGCAGACTTGAGTTTAATGACTTCAAGTTCTTTCCCGCCGCTGTCCCCGCTGACCCCACAACAGCCCTGTGATGGAGGCTGGGGCTGCTCGGCCCTTCTGCAGATGACGGCTGAGGAGGGCTCCCAGCCCAGCAGCCCTGGGGGCCGGCCGCTCCTGGTCTTCGGCCCCTCCGCTCTGCCCTGGCTGTGGTCTGTTCCCGAGTGGGCCTGGCTCTGGCACGAGGCGGAGACAGACCTGCCCAAAGCAGCGTGTGTTCTGGGAGCCAGCAGCCACTATGCCCACCCCCACCCCCATTTCTAGGCTGCCTCCAAGACCAGCGCAGCCTGCAGAGAGATCTGGGAGCTGAGGCCTTGGTCCTTCCGCAAGCCTGGTCTGGTGTCCGGGAGGACGTGCAGCCTTGGGTTGCCCTGCCCACAGGGCAGGCCTGCACCCACAAGCCCAGCCCAGCACACACACTGAACTCTGCAGAGCAGCAGTCCCCAGGAACACACGCATGCCACACACACACACATGCACACTCCTGGACACACCGTGTGCACCCACGTGTGCCCTGTCCACCACCTTGCCGGGCCCCTCTCTGCTGCCCTGAGTGCTCCCCTTTTCCTCAGTCCACGATGGGACAGAGGCAGGGGCTGCCAGCAAAGGGGACACTTCCCCAGCAGGTGTCCTGCGCCCCGCAGCAGCTGCCCACGGCCTGGAAGGGCAGCCGCTTCCCCACAGGCTCTGGAGGCGGTCTCCTTGGGTGCCCAGGTAGACAGTGCTCAGGACCTCGCGGTGCTGGAGCTGGCAGCCAGGCAGGCCTCAGGCCTAGATAAGCCTTTCCTCGGGTGGCACCTTGAGGACACTGTCCATCTCCAGCCGGGCCCCGGCCACTTCCTGCTGGCTTGGGCTGTAGGTGCCCTCTGACTGGCGGCGCTTTCTAGCTGCCAGGATCCCTGAGAGGAGGCCCAAGAGGAGGAGGAGGAGGCAGGCGCAGGCTGCGGGCACTGCCACCTCCAGCAGCGGGAACGGCGGCGGCAGCGGCAGGCCCTTCTGCAAGAGATGCGACAAGGAGGCCCGGCAGTGAGGGAGGGAGAGAGCCGAGGGCACAGGTCTGGCTCGCAGAAAATGAGAGCTAACAGGCTTCCCTGGGAGGTGGGGAGAGACCAGGCCCTGGGGGTATGCAAGCAGGTGCCAGGGAGCCACCTGTCAGAGCCTCTGGTGGAGATTCCCATATGACAGAGGGCTTCCGGCTCGGCTAGGAGAGGAGGCATTTGCTGAGCGCCTGGTCTGAGCTGGGCAGGGCGTGGCACTTCCCAGAAACCTCGCCGGCCTGGCGAGGCAGCAATGAGAACTCGCCCGCCCTCATTTCAGGAGCACAGGAGCCGGGTTCATTTTGTTCACGGGCTTCCTGCATATTAGCACTCGGGGAGCAGTAGGTGAGAAAACAGGCTTTGCCCGGATTCCCCGGGCCCGTGACTAGTCGGTGGCAAGCCAGGACTGGCACTTCTCCATCTGCCCCAACACCATGCCACCATCCTTCAGCCTCACGTCCCAGTC